CCCCTCAAAAAGTAAGTAACTGTTTTGGCCTCGTTTTCGGCAATTCGGTTCGTATGCAATTTTTAGGAAAAAAGTCCTTTTCTGACTAATTGTTCCACAAATTGACCGCTAACAACAGACACAAAACCAAGACGATTCAGGGTTGTGCTCCACAGCTTAGAAAAAATTCCTTGAAGAAAATGGGGACTCCACAGGCAAACCGAAAACCCGTTGTTTCAAAGAGCAGGGGTGCTTGCCTTGGACAAAAGAAAGAACCAAAAAAAGGATGTGTCAGACACCGCACAATCTGGTCCCAAAACACAGCCACCCAATCCGATAGTGTCCTTGAGATAATAGAGCTGGACCAGCTAGGTTATCAGCTAGCTTATCACAAGACTTTCGAAATCCGTGGGGCTGAGGAGCCACATGAATGCCTAATGGAGACCCCGGCCAGGGTTCTCACTTAGGGAAAATCTCCAACTCAAGTCTGTGGAGCACAACCCTCAGTGCTTGCCCCGGGGCTTCTGGCTTCCTCCCCCTCCTTTTGTCTCTCCCTTCTTGCTACTGCCAAGGTAACTGATCAAATTTTGATCATTGCTATTTTTAGACATGCATGTATGCACCACCCCTCCATCTGCTCTGTTTTTTTTCCCTATTCCCTTTTGCTTTCCCTCCACGTCTGTTATTTAGTTCCCGTGGCTATTAAACTGAATTCCCCAAGATGTGCAGATGGACGGCTCGCAATGGGTCCATCCTGTATGGAATTTACCATCACCGTTAGTCTTAAAGCACCAGTACATGGGCACCTAGGCCACGGGCCTGACGCCCCAAATTCTGGAGGCACAAAATGAAAACGTGACTGCCAATCGGATTTATCAACGGCGGGTGACGTTTCGGCCTCGTTTTCTGACTGCAAGGCTGGGGCCGTGTGCTTTTCAAACCCTTATACCCCATATCAGGCAGGGATAACAATACTTTCCAACAACACAGAAAAGCACAATGTCAACAACAACAATAATATTAAGTCATGATAATTGCTATTTTTAGACATGGATGTATGCACCTCCCCTCCATCTGCTTTGTCATTTTCCCTATTCCCTTTTGCTTTCCCTCCACTTATGTTCTCTAGTTCCCGTGGCTATTGAATTGAACTCCCCAAGTTGTGCAGATGGACGGCTTGCCATAGGTCCATCCTGTACAGACTTTATCATCACCGTAACTCTTAAACCCTTATACCCCATATCAGGCAGGGGTAATGATACTTTCCAACAACACAGAAAAGCACAATGTCAACAACAATAATAATAATAGGTTGTTAATAACAACATAATATCAATAATACAACAAAATCAGACCAGCACTTTAATCGGCCCCAACAGCCAGCCCCCTAACGGGAAGGGGAGGGGCACACAGGGTGGGTGGAGAGGGGAAGAAGGGATAGTAGGTCTATGGTTCGGTCGATGAGAACCACAATTCTGTACACCTTCCAACAATCAACACAGCAAATCCGTTTCTGACCCACGTGGGAGGACTGGTAAAGAACATGGTATGGGCACCACAACATCCCACACAGGGACATTTTAGGGTGAACTTGGCCACAACTGCAGTCAAATGCGTCCGAGAAAAGTCCAACCGTCTTCCCCCAAACACAACGTACCCTTACACAATGTACCCTTATCACGACCGTATCCTGTCGTAATGATAGCTCGTATACATTCATAATGCGGCTGCCTCAGACCTGCCACCCGACGGCTATTTTGTTTACACAACAAACACATGTTCGGGACCCTGAGATGTGTCCATGCCTCATCGTCTACAACCCCAATGTTTGACACATCTCCCATAGTTTGACCTGAGACGCAAGGACACATCTCCCGTAGTAGTAGAAGTTGTAGTAACAGTAGTAATAAAAGTAGCATCAGTAGTAGTAGTAGTAACAGTAGTGGTAGTAACAGTGGTGGTAGTAACACAAGTAGTAGTCCTAGAACGAGTGCGCGCATGCGGCCGTCTCTGACTAGAAATGAATTGAATGACCAAAAGGAGGGATGGAGAACCCATTCATTTCCCAACTGGTGAGAGACTGTTGCTTGTTCATCCTCTGCAACTGCTACGCAGCAGGGAAGCTGCTGTCTATCAAAGAGAGGAGATGCCACGCACGTCAGGAAAACATTTTCAGTCATCAATCTGGGCCGCCGTCGAAAACAGAGCTCGTCGGCAAGGGTTACGCCGCCAAGGAGAGGATTGGGATCTTCAGTTATTCCTCCCTCCAGCAGATCTCGGTGAAACACTGCTGTCCCACCAGTCATGCGGTGGTGTGGACTGCCCTTGCCCTATGCAAGCCTAGTCTTGCTCGAGGGCTATTGCTCTCCACAGCCTGTTTTCCTGAGTACCTGCTGATTTTTCGTTTTTTCCCCGCTCTTCTATTTGAGAGGTCAGATGCAGGCTGTGGGGAAGCGCATAGTGCGCACACAATCAGATCCTCTCTCCAGATTTCCAATTTCGTTAAATTAAATTATCCCTTTTTTTTCCCAACTTTCTGAGATAATCAGACAAACTAGCAAAGTTTGTCGTTCGATTTAGAGATGACGGTCTTGCATTCTCCAGAAGACCACTGACCTGCCAATCTCCAGGCGAACACACGCACACACACACACAAACACAAGCACACACACTTGCGCAATAAGTGGTGTCTCAGCGGGGCGGAGTGGTTCATCGTTTCAAATTATTTCTTCCAAACTCTTTTCAAATTCTTCCACAGGCAATCACCCTTGCCCAAGCGAGGTGTGGAATCCAGTCCCACCACTTTTCTTTCAGGTGGTGAAACAATGACAAGGAGTCATATCCCCAGGAGACTTTCTTGGCTGCACCTGGCCACCTCACATGCGGCTAGACTCGGTCAAGAAAGTCCCCCCTCGCTTCAGTGTAGTATAGTGTGCGTGTTGTAAACTGTCACCATAACAACCCCTTTCCACTCAGATGATTAGATCCACATTTGAAACAAATTCTAAACAAACTGTTGTATGCGAGAAAGGGTCTGTGTGCCCCACACTACACTAAACTACACCACAGTAGGTTACCGTACACTACCCCATGACCAGACCTATGAGGTTTCATGATGACGTCCTTGGATGGTGCAATCCCAAAATTTATGCGTATGGTCTGATACAAGCTTCTCCAAGTAAACACACAAACGAAAAGCCTAACCTATCTATACGCTCTTCGTGATGATGCAGAGGCCGGTGGTACTGCTCGTTGCACGAATTCTAGACTTCCAGTTCTTGACAGAGCTTGACAGGATATTCTTGCCGATGTAGGCAACTATCAATCCTTTCTCTCTTCCTTCCTTCCCTTTCTTTCTTGTCGATGTAGGCAACTGTCCATTCTTTCTTTCTTTCTTTCTGTGATCGCAGACTCACGGAACAGAGAACCGTCAAGTTTATGATCTTCTCATTCTCGCCTAATACAAAATTTTCAGAGCAGTGGTTGTTATAATCTACGGTTGTTGATGATACAATGGGTTTTTGCCTTTGCTCACAGAAACTCATTCGTTCATAGACGGGTCTCCATAGCTTTTTTTTCTCGACCTGGTCTCGAAGACTGCATGATTTTCTACACAGGAGAGCAGAAAAAGTGCACGCAGAGCAAAAACTGATCACATTTTTTTCAAAGAAAGGGAGGAAGACGAAGGAGAAGAGGAAGACCAGGTTGAACCCCAGACCTTTGGGCAGTTGCAGCACGGGGCTTCGTTTTTTTCCCCTTGCAGCTTTCAGACTCATGGAGCAGAGAACCGTCAAGTTTATGATCTTCTCATTCTCGCCTAATACAAATTTTCAGAGCAGTGGTTGTTATAATCTACGGTTGTTGATGATACGATGGGGTTTTGCCTGTGCTCACAGAAACTCATTCGTTCATAGACGGGCTCCATAGCTTTTTTTTCTCGACCTGGTCTCGAAGACTGCATGATTTTCTACACAGGAGAGCAGAAAAAGTGCACGCAGAGCAAAAACTCATCACATTTTTCAAAGAAAGGGAGGAAGAAGAAGGAGAAGAAGAAGACCAGGTTGAACCCCAGACCTTTGGGCAGTTGCAGCACGGGGCTTCGTTTTTTTTTCCCTTGCAGCGTTCTTTGAAAGTATATTTCGCCTTCCCTTCTTTCCATTTCTATCCATTTCTCCGTTGAAGTTTATCGTTGCTGTCATTATCGTTCTTCGTCATCGAAGTTGAGCGTCAGAAATCACTGCATAGCACGTTCTCATCACCATAATCATCATCTTCATCGTCAAATCCCAGCGCACATGATAGAGGTACTAAGCAGCGATTTCTACTGCCAAATAATGGGAAGTACCTCTATCATTTGCCCTGAGATGCCGACTATAATTATGATGACGATGATGATGTTGCTGTTGATATTTACTGGTGAGCATAATAACGTTGGTGGCGGTCATGATGATGACGATGATGCATCACCATCGTCATCAGCATCAGCATCATGGTCAATGACATCATCTCACGATAGCCACAGGGGAACACGACGAGGATAACGACGAAGATGAGGGGAGACTGGAAGGACGGAGGCAAGTGGAGGAGCAGAGCACTCGCAAGGGAGGAGGTGGGAGAAGCAACAGCGTTCAGGTCGAGCTATCAGGAAGAAGAAGAAAACGAGCAAGCAGGAGGGTAGACGGTAGGGCAACAGTGTGACAGAGGGGGAGCTTTGGGAGGAGAAGCAGAGCAAGGCAAAGGAAAGGTAAAAGGAGAAAGGAAAAGAAAGGAAAAAGAAACAAAAGGAAATTTGGTGAAACATGGAGGGTTGGTAAGAAATCACGGGACGGGAAGAGCCCAAAAGAAGCGAGACAGGGACACGACGAGAAGGGCAAAGAAAAACATAGGAAAGAAGAGCAGCGACTGAAAAAGCAAAAACCGGAAGAAAAGGAGAGACGCATGGAGGACAAAGCAAAGCAAACAACGGCAGGGGGAAAGATGCCAAGGGAAGTGAATAAGCTCAGTTTTAAAAAACAACACACCTCCGTGGAGAGGGAGGCTCGCCGGAGAAGTCACCCTGAGTGCACTCCACCCACCGCATCTTCGTTCGACGTCAGAAACACTCCCAAGTCCAGGTTTCCTTTTTTCCCGCTCGCTGGTTTCCTTCTACTGGGCCGCTGCCTCCTGATCGTCCGCCTACGTGTAGGTGTAGCGATAATTCGGTGTTAGACAAAGTGAGGTATGAATTGGTTTCCGGCAGGACTACAGTAGTTGTTAAAGCACCTGACCTTCCTTTCTTCCTTCCTTCCTTTAAAATACCCTTGGATCGGAAGCAGGTCAATCCATTTACTAGTCAGAGAAGAAAGGATAGCACATTTACTAGTCAGTTTTTAAATTGCCCGTGACTGGAAAGCGCATTTACCACTCAGTTTTTTAATTGCCTGTGAATGAAGGGCGCACTTCACTTCATTCGATGCCCGCCCTTCCCTTGTCGTCCTTAATGTGCGAACGCGAGTGCCACTCTCATTTTCTAGATTCAGTGCCATTCTTGTGGTAACAAGTTGGCGGCAAAGGGAGGGTGTAGGAGGAACGGCGGGCGAAGAGTGGCGGGAGGGGCGGGGATGTGAGAGGGAGAGAGGGAAAAGTTGCCAATACAGAATGCGAAAAGAAGGGCTAATCATTCGACTAGACAGCCCGGGCAGCCCTCCTACCATAGTCGATTGATCAATCTCCACCCTCGCAAATAACGCGGTATCGACTGATCAATCGACCAATCAACCAATCAGTCAACCAATCAACCAACCAGTCAGTCAACCAACCAATCAAACAATCGCCCGATCGATCAATCAGTCAAATCAACGATTCACAGAAGAGCCAGAAGTGGACCATCATCTACCCCTCCCTTCTACGCAAAGAATATTATTGACCAGCCAGTGCGCGCAAGCACAGAGGGTAGAAAATAGCCGATTGCTCCTCGTGCGCATACACAATCCCACCAGATACAATTCTTCTTTCCCGCTCCTCGTGTTTGATTGGTCCCACAAAAAAATGCACCAGAAAAGCACACCCTCATCTTTCGGTTTCCAAAAATGGAAAAGCGCTTGGATAGAATGGGAGGGACCCTAGGTTTTAATGAAAGACCGAGCCCGCAAAAAAAAAAAACACGCTCGACATGGTACACCGGGAGGATGGAGCGTTATATAGGACTCCACACGTATTGATAGATAGATAAGTCGATACATAAATAGATAGATAGATAGAATTTTTAACGCTTGCGGGAAATCGCTAGAAGGTAACGAGGACGGATCAATAATTGCCGCCGGTCAACAACAACAACCCACCGTCTTACGATTCTCCACTTTGAACTCTCTCTCTCTCTCTCTCTCTCTCTCTCTAACACACACACACAAAACAAAAAAAACAAAAAAAACGCAGCCAGAAACGACAATTTGATGTTCAGCGAGGAGGGGGCTGCATTCGGGAGGAAAGGGCAAGAGAAGGTAGGAAGGCAATAATAGCCTGCGAAAAGCGTGGATAATAACCAATAAGCCCTCCAATCAACCAGCATTAAAGTCATCAATAAACTGAACAGTCAATCAATCAATCAACCCTTCAACCCATCTGTCAATCCGTTGATCAAATGGCGTTGACCGACTGATTGTCGCCCACTCAAACAAAAGATCGACCGATCAATCCATAAAGCATTCGAACCCCTTCCTCTCGCCTGCACGAATCCACGCCAATAAAAATCAAAAGTTAGTACCACCACCTTTTTCTCCAGGAAGGTTTTTTTCACTCTCAATCTCTCTCCCACAGCATCGCGCCATCTTAAGTCGGATGATGATGACGACACACACGCGTGTAGCAGAAAAGCATCAACGTAGCAAAACGCAAGTTACACGCAAAACCAAAACCCTACTCCCTACCACTCCTTAAGAGACCCAATTCAAAAAAAGGTAGCCCGAAAGAAGAGGTTGAAATACAACAGATAGTACCAAAATAGACATACACAGAAAGGCAACACTTCAGATGAAGATAACACAGAGAAGAAACGAAACACAGCTCTATACAACAGATGGTACCAAA